GGTAGCGGTCAAGCGTGAGGGGGTCCAGCCACCTTAAATCCTATTCTCGACTTTCACACCCCCATAATACTTTGCGTCTTTGGGGGGTAACCAGAGGGTAAAAACCCACTTATTTTGCTGAAGACTGATCAGACAATGTTGACTGTACCTTGTTGGGAATCCAAAAATAAAATGAAGAAGTAAAAAAAAGAAAAAGATAGAAGCTTGAAAACGTTTAAGGTARATTTTAAACATTTTTTCGTAAGTCAATACATTTTCTGTAAGACCAAAACTCTTCATGATCTGTACACGCAAAAATAACTTGGAATAAACTGATAATCAGTATTGTACAGATAAAAGCAGGTATAGTATAGATTCAATTAAGAAACCTTTCAATTTGGGACAGTTTTTTGATTGGTTGCCCACCAAAGACGCAAGGCATTATGGGGATGTGAAAGTCRAGAATTTGGTTTCATTATCATTTATGTGTTGACAACTCAGACTGAGACTGTATCGACAACATTCCTGTATTTCCTGTTTTCAGATCAAGAGAAACCCGTCAAACAAGTCCGAGTGACGCCATTGACATCCCGTGCTCTCAAGGTGGACTGGGTCGAGACGAGCGATCGTATTTCCGTTGTTTATCACGTGTACCACAGCTTTAAGAAGGCCGTGGTGTATTGTGGGAACACCACCTCCAAGACTATTGATTGTTCTGGGCTGAAGCCTTATACGTTTTACACTGTGTATGTACGAAGGCACGGTGAGAACGTCAATAGTACTGGGATGAACCGAACGAAGGAAGAGAGTAAGTCCTCTCAGATCATTTGTCATTCCTTTGAGTATTATTTCTTTCTTTACTAGGAATACTTTTCAGCTATGGTGCAATGTTTTCCCATTTCAGACCATGTGTCATTCCCTTGAGTATTATTTCTTTCTTTACTAGGAATGATTTTCAGCTATGGTGCAATGTTTTCCCATTTCAGACCATGTGTCATTCCCTTGAGTACCGTATTATTTCTTTCTTTACTAGGAATGTTTTTCAGCTATGGTGCAATGTTTTCCCATTTCAGACCATGTGTCATTCCCTTAAGTATCATTTCTTTCTTTACTAGGAATGCCAGCTTTTCAACTTTTTAAGTATTATTCTTGTGTTTCCCAGTAAAGCTTGAAAATATATTTAATGTAGATATAACTAAGAGAAATTTTAACTTTCTTAACCATTTCGTTGACCTAACAACATTACAAATAAGATTTGTTTCTTTTTCCTTTTAGAGCCGAGTCCTCCCACGGACATCACAGGAAGTCAAGCAGAAGACAACACCACAGATCTTTTCCTACACTGGCAAATCCCAGAGCAAATCAATGGAAAGATCCTACAGTACCGAATACACTACTCTACTAATCTGAGCCTTTCGTTAGACCAATGGGAGAAAGTGGACAGCAATGGCAGCGCAATGATGACTCGAGTCAAAAATCTGGTCTCTGGGAAGAAGTATTATTTTAAGATTCAAGTGAGGAATGGTGCAGGGTGGAGTGATGCTTCTAAAGCTAAGATGATCATGATTAAAGGTACGTCTGACCCTTGGGCGTAGGTGAGAGCATACATTGAGTC